CTTGTACATTTGAGATTGGTAAGTTGTGATGTCTTGGATGAGACAAAGACCAACTAAGACCAATTGTGTGAAGTGTTAGTCTTGATAAGAATCCGCACTATCCCTTGAATATTTGTTTTGTCAAGGAATGATTCTTGACTGGGGAAACTTATATGTCAAGGGGATAGTGGGAGCCTTAAAGATCCTGAAAGAGTTTCAAGATTTAATCAAGAGTGAAACCTGTAATTTATCACTAGCACATGACTTAAGGTTTGCAACCTATCGTGTTGACATAATTCTTATTTCTGTACCTACTTCAAATAAGCTGAATTTGCATGTGAGTTATCAGAGTTCAACTTGGAAGCATTGGTGGGCCTTGTGTTACCAAGGTGACAAGAAAACTAAGATTGAATAAGTTTAATCCATGTAGGGCTGAATTTGTCACTAACCTTATCTTGTGATTATGGTTTTGACAAATTCGCATGGATAGGAACTCATACACTATAAAATCTAAGTGTCATAAGTTTTCTCTCCGATTCATGAAAATGATGGTGAGGAAACGCTTTCACTAAATAGATTTTAAGTAGATATCAATTGTGTCATTTGCATTTACAAAAGTCATTAGTGGAGCGCGTGTGGTTAACCGGCACACTAACATGGACTTGTGAGAAATGGAAAATGCCTAAGCAATTGAGACTATGATTATGGCATCCCTTTTCATAGTTCTGAAAATTGTTTAGACACACATGTGAGCTATCTAAGAAAGGATGTATGAATCTAAATTTCAGAAGTCTAGCAGATTTCTGAAAATATGTCAGAGCTAGTGGGAGCATAAGTGTTATGCTGATAATCATCATGTTAGTGGGAGCATGATTATTATTATTAGTATTGCAAGCTAGCAATGTTAATTATAGAAAACAAAGTTTCAATTCGTGAAGTTGCAGGGGTTGAAAGGTTGTTTTGCTATAATTAAGGGAGAGGAAATTATACTTCATTGCAATTCTAAAGCTTAGATTGAGATTTTAATCATCTTTAGTCAAGAATATATATGAATTTTGTGTGGGAATGGTTCAACTTGAAGAAATTCTATATATATTGCATTTTCAAAATTCGATTATGATTACGGCATCCCTCTTCATAGTTAAATTTTGAAAACATGGCAAATGAAAAATATTGTAGCAAAAGACTGGTCTAGTATCATGTCTTTATGTCAAACATCATGAATCGTGTCCCATATGCTTCGGATATAGGATCGATTTCACGTGCTATGATATTCATCCTTTCTAAATTTTCCAAATGCTTAAGGCATATAGAAGGGAAAAGTCTAGAACTGGATATGACTAAAGTGATTAAGCAATTGTCGAGGACAATCTGAGGTTCGCCAAAGATTGGTTTCTCAAGGACAATTGGAAGTATAGTGATAATTCTGGAAGGACCATATTGACATAATCTGTAAGGAGGCAACTCTTGTTCAGAAGTGATAGTCAAAATGGGATCTGGAAATGTTTCAAAGTTAGAAATTATTCAATCTATGTAAGATTAGGAAACTTAATGCAAGAAGGATGTTCCCAAGGAGCTAATCTCCTTTGGAATGCTTTGTAATGGTTGTTGTCAAGTCTTTCTGACTTCGTGCATAATCATTACAAGAGGATCAATGCATATAAGTTTAGAATCTAACAGATTTCAGTAAATGACATGAATTTGGAATTCTTGCATTTACAATAAGGATTTGGGATTGTGAAATTAGTATCATTGGAATCATGTTCAATTGATCTACATCACAATGTAAGGATCATAGACAAACATAGTGTGCATACTTGAGGTATGGCATAACTATTGTTTAGAAAAACAAAGTGTACATGCTAGGAGCATGAGACGACTGTTGTTTTTATTCAAATCTTAAGTTGATTATTTGAAACATTGAATAATGTGTAATCAATATGGTGATAAATAAAGAGTGCTTTTATTTATATTCAAATGGGTTCTGAGACCATATTAGATTCGATTATTATTGTGTTTCACTTTGCATGTTTTGACTTCCAAAATAGCTAGGTTGTTCTTTTCGAATGACTAAGTCATTTAAACACTCCACAGTCGTTCATATGTTGGAAGTAGGTATGAATCAAGACTGTCATGAATCGGGTTTGTAGATGGCTAAATGGGTTTAGTCATGGCAATGGTTGCTACAACATTCATGAGTGCTCATAAGTTATGAGTATTGGAATAAACCCACGCTCACTTGTATCACTTCATGGAATTTATCTCGAGTGATCGTGAGACGGTAATATCATATAAATCTTCAAACCTAGAGATATGATTTGTTACCTATGAGTTGGTTGTGCATTGATTGCATGTAAACGCATCAGTAACTTGATGTTATAAAACGTGCCTTTGTGTACAATTCAACAAGTAGTAGAAGAAGCATATGAGTCGAAGTTTATCTGTTCCTTCTAGAAATAGAAGCGATATCTGGGCCCCTCGATGATTTTGTTGTGACCTATGTACCGGCCGGTCAGAACTGAATTGATGTGTTCGATTAAGTTCTTTGTCAAACAAATCGAAAATCGGGAAACAAACTGCTGGACAATAAGTACGACATTGTTCCATGTATTTTTTCAGCTGATATCATGAGAACAGAGGATTATATGATCCCTTATCTAATGGACAAGTCATTGACAAGGGCAGAGTTCATCTACAAGGTCAGAGTTCGACAGAAGCTTTTGAGAGCTATGATTTCCAGTTGGTTCCTGAAGTCATACGCAATAATAGTTTTAGACTTATCCAAGTGGGAGACTGTTGGATTAATGTCTAAGTCCATAACTATAATTGGTAAGACTTGACCCGACCCGGCATGGTCCATTTGGGTTGCATACCATCATGCACTTGGATAGACTATAATGAGAGAAATAATACACTTATGGTTATTAATATATTATAAGTTCTAGTATATTAATAATAAGAATAATAAGATTATTTAATTAGTATTGATCAAGAATTAATCTAGGATTAATTAAGTGATCAAAAGAAGACTAATTAAATATATGGGTTGATTGTGTAAATCATCCATACTTATATAGTGGGCTAATGCTCCATGGATAATCAAGTTGGGCTAAAACCCATAGGATGGTCCATGGATGCTCCATGGTGTATTTGAACCCATGGATCCAAGGAAATGGAAAGCCATGACAATTAAGGATTTACCCTAATTGTAACACTATATAATGATATTATTCTTGACAAAATCGGCCACTAATATACACTAGGATTATTCTAGAGAGGGCTAGCCGATTTCATGAAGTGTAGGACTCTCTCAAGTTATTCTAAGTGTTTTGATGATTGTGATTCCATTTGAGGCTTCCACACTATTGGGGCTAGGCACTCAAGCTTCATGAAGACTTTCTACATCAAAGAGGTATGTATTCTATCTTGTTACACTCATTGTTTTGTATGCTAGATTAGGATAATACCTTGGATGTTCTTATTTGCATGTATAATAGAGAAAACATAGATCCAAGGTATTTAGGGTTGCATTTACACTTAGGAGTGTTAGAATGCTCAAAACCCAACAGAAACAGGGGACCCATTGGCCTCACCGTTTTGCTTTTAGTAGTTATAATTAATTAATACATAAGGCAGAGATAAAACCACATATCGTATTTACATATAATATAACAAATACAGTCATAAAAAAATAATCCTAAACTCCTGCGTTGTCCCACATAACAAACAAACACAACAACCATATAACATGGGTTTGAAAAAAATACAAGAGAGAGAGAGAGAGAGAGAGAGAGAGACCTTTAGGTTCTTAGAATCTCTTCCAGCAGTGACCTCACAAAGTATAAAATTGGAATGGCTTGGATATGGATTTAGAAATGGGACGTCTTTTAAAAGCGCATAAAGCCTCTCTCTATCTTCTACCAGGGCCACTTTTACTTTCTGTCAATCAATCAATCAATAATATCGGGTCAACATAACAGTCACATCCATTTTCAATTGCTTCTAAACTTTTTTCTTATCAAGGCCAATACTGAATGTACTTTGAACAGTGACTGTAAGTAACAGTCTCAAATAATTACCTCCAAATAAGTGGGAAATGCTCCATACCCCACCCGTAGTCCTGCTAACCCTATTTCCAATTCGTATCCTTTCCATCGGTTCCAAAAAAATGTGGTAAGTAAGACCCTGTCTAGCATACATGATGATGGTACATAAACCTGAAAATAGGAACCTTACAAGTCAAAATAATATTTAAAAATAGGAGGGGTGTTTTGGTAAATTTACGTGAAACATGACAAGAGTAGACCCCGTATGGGATTGAATGATGTTTTCTATAAGAACTTAAAGAATAAAAAATTGAAAATACTTATTTTGAAAAAATAAAAAAAGGTAAAAAACTCAATCTACTCTTCAGTTGTGTTTTCAGTGCTTCCGCTTCCTCTTATTTCACTCTCTGGTAATGTTCCTAAGTCGATCTGTAAAAGATTCTTCTGCAGCTATAAGAGCTTCTTATTCCACTTTACTCTGCAGCTGTGTTTTCATTTTTCACGTCAGACACTTCATTATTCAGATTCTCATTCTCATTTGATTCATGTTCCTTTTAGTTCTCATCTTCCCCATTGAATTCATTGAATCTTCTGAGTTTCTATTCACTGATATAACATTATTGAGGTCAACAGAAGGCATCAAATTCGAATCTTGACTTGGGTTATTATGTTTATAGTTTCCTCCTTTGACACTTTTTGTGATGAAAGATCCACACTGGGTCCCACTTCACTTTCACCTTTTCATTCACTTTTTCTTTGATTTCTTCACTACCATCACTATGTTTTCCTTCTTCTTTGTTCACCTCAGTCTTCTTAGTCTTTAACTGCTAGCATTTGCTGTAGGACAACAATATCCAAAATAACATGCATACTAATTTAATACAGGTCTTATATAAGATAACATTTTAAACAAGCGTACACTTGAATTCAAAGTACCATAAGAGTCCACATCTTAGCATGAGATAGTCTATCACTCTATCTGTGTTCTTGAGCCCTTTGCATATCATATGATCCCCAAGATCCAGGCCCAGGCCCATATTGAGGGTAACCTTTTGCAACAGGTTGCACCTGATTGTAACAGTAATAAAAAAATTGAGACCCAAAAAGAAATACCCCCAAGAAAGAAACTATGAAAATGAGATAACTTACAGGATTCATTTTATGCATGGAACTAATGTCATAACTTGCAAGGTAAGGATTCCCTGAATAGTTAGCTTCAACATTAACATAAGCAACCTGGAGAGATCAAATATTGACCTTCTTGTAGTACTACATCAGCAACCTGGAACAGAAAATTAATATTAATATTATAAAGCAATTTTGTAAAATGATTTACAATAATATGGTCAAAGAAACTAACCATGTTAAGAGTAGACAACAATGATTTACAATAATATGTACCAAATTATTATTATTATTATTATTATTATCATCATCATCATCATCATCATCATCATCATCATCATCATCATCATCATCATTATTATTATTATTATTATTATTATTATTATTATTATTATTATTATTATTATTATTATTATTATTATTATTATTATTGTTTACCCTTGACATTGCGGAAACACGAAGTAAGGCATACACAACATTTGATACAATCCCTTCCCCGCTATGTGATATTACTTGAACCACCATGGATGAAAAGTTGGATGTCATTGATTCCAACAATGAACTCACCCCAAACTCAAGAAAACCTACACAACACAACAACGACTAGTTAAAAATATTCACATCCATCACCTTCAAATAACAACACAAACAAATACCCCCAGACTCTCCTTCATTACTTCTACAAAAATTAAAACGACAAACGAAATATAATTTAATTAATTGTAAGGGAGGAAAATCATAATGAGAGATTGTTGTAATAATAAATTCTGTTAAAAGTAGTTGTAAGTGAATGATGCTCACAAAACATATACGACATTGCTGCAAGTGCTGCTCCACGATGCATATTTGTACAACATATGGCTTCTTTCTGAAGTGAAACTTGAAGAAGAGGACCATAAGAAGCTACTAATTTCTATAAATGTAATGCATCAAATCCCTATATGATAAGGGCATTCACGTCTTTTTCACAAAGTCAATTTAACAAACAAATCCTAAAGAGATAGTGAATTTAACCTTTGGACAGCTGCAAAGAAAGATTGAAGTGAAACTACAATAAGCCTCCACAAGATCGGGCTCTTGATCACATACATAAGAAGAATTTATTGCCATTACAGATGATGCATATGTAAATCTTTCAATTGTGCTCATAAATAAAGCTCCTTATTTGACTTTTTTTTCTGTAATATAGAATAATACAAGTGTTATTATGATGACAATAACAAAATGAAAGGAAATAAAAGAAGATACCTCACCTTTTAGTAGATTTGTGATATCAATTGTCTGATTATCACTGAAAAATGGAGTGATTGAATATCTTGCTAAACACCCCTGATATTCTTATAGTAATTCACTACTAGTTCTGCAAACCAAACCAAAATAAGAACAATTTTTACAATAGACTCATACATCCTTTTGATTAAAAGAGATGTGAAGTAGAAATTCACCTATCTAAAAGGCGCATACTAGAATCCAGACAACTAGCTAATACACATCTACCATCATTTGATAGAGAGATACAGTTTGCAGGTTGCCTTAAATCATCAGATAATTCTCTAGAAACAAATGAATCTTTAAAGCTCAAACATGCTACAAAGTTATTTATTTCATAATCATGATGATTCTCACATGGAATACCTACCTACCAATCCGGATGTCAAATGTGCGTATAGTTCCATCAACACTTCCAACAATAATCTTAGTTTTTGTTAAACAAATAGACATAATGCTATCTAGAAAGGTGTCAATGATCTGTGAATCAATTAAAATTGTCATCAACTTTTGATAATATAAATATGAAGATAATTTAACAGGCATGTAGATGTAAGAAACCCAAACCTGAATTGGCTCAGTGTTGTGAGATCTATAGTCCCAGGCACGTAAGGAACGATCATACCCTGCTGATACAACAACAGATGAATATTCATTGAACTTTATAGCATTCACCTACACAAATATGGTGTTATGATTGTGAAATTATAAATATGTGTTATGTGATTGATAAATTGGTTTGTTAGGGGAAATTACATACCTCACTGTTGTGACCTTGAAACTTTTTGATCACACGCCCAGTCGATTGGAAGATGGAGGTTCAATTCAAATCATACTAACTGCTCATTAGAACCAGCATACACGAGTGGTGAAAGTGTAGAAGAAGGGAAACCTTTTGGCTGAAATAAAGATTCACCATCAAATTCCTTATCGTTTCCTAGCTTTTTTGTGGCTTTGACTTTTCTATCAGTTGTGCTAGCACCAATTGTTAGAACCCATGGAGCTATATTTGTTGCAGTGCCATTGAACGGACCTGAGTTCCCTATTGCACAACTCACAAAGATTCCTTTTTGGATAGATGCAAATGAGGCTATTGCAATGTTGCCTTGAAAAAAAGGTATGTTTTCTTCTCCAACAGAAATTGATATCACATCAACTCCATCAGCTACTGCAGCATCAAGCCCGACTAATATGTCACTCTCTGGGCAATCTGGACCAAAACATACTTTATAAACCACCAGATGAGCATAAGGTGCCATCCTGACGGCTAATATGCACTCTCTGGGAAATCTGGACAAAAAAGTAGACCATCTGTTCATTTTTGTGATGGAAGTTCCGTTTGAGCAATTCAACGAACAGTATGCATGCATTGTTAGAACAAAAAGAATCGAAAAACTATAACGGGTGATAGTTACACCAAATCATCCACCATGGTTGATTAATCGATAGACCGACTCTCTATCTTAATCTATTGGTAATTGAAAAGAGAGTGAAATAAAAAGGAAAGGGGCGAAATGGTAGCATAGGAAAGAAAAAAGTTCAGAACTTTAAAATCGTGTCTATGTACCTTCAAAATTGATGCCAAAAAACTCAAAACTACTGATTCGTCGCTGGAATTGTTGTTGTGGTGCGATGTTCCAACGGTGGAGTCCGAGAGAAAACACAAATTGTGATGGGTAGCTATCGTTGTTGGTGATGACCGATACATCAAAATCCCTAGTTCTTCGGTCAATCGTCTATTTTATGAAAGAAGATATTACCATTGCAAATGTGTTATGTCTGATTAGGGTTTGCACAAAGAAGGAGTGAAAGTTGATCGTAGAGGAAGGGGTTTGCAGAGAGAAGGAAGGGAGAGAATGAAGTCGATCTGGCGGGTGTAGAGAGTACAAAGGAAGAGGAAGGCAGGTGTTCAAAATTTTGGAGGATTTCATTTCCCCCTTACCTATCAAGGAGTCCCAGAAACACGCGTTTAGTAAAAATTATAAAGCGACATTTGTAGAGGATACGCTTTTTGTCACACCCCGAAAATCAAAGGCGGAAACATTTCCGTAGTGGACTACCACGTTGTGTATCAAATCCAATGTACATAGTAATCACAGTAAACAACCAATACATTACATATAGATGAAAGTTTACATTTGTTTCAAAAGTAAAGTTATACAAGATATACATATGCATCATATTAACAAAAGTTGAGGCGAGTCTTCCACGCACTCCGTCTTCACCAGAAAGAGATCACCAGGTACCTGTCTAACTTGGACCTAAGAATACAAGCGGTTTGAAAATCAGCATAAAGCTAGTGAGTTCATAAGCGGTTTTGTTTTATGAAAATGTATCGGTTTCCTTTAGTTTCCGAAAAGGTTTGTTATCCAAGAAAATCCCATATTTTCTTATGTGAAGTTAGTTTAGTTATCATTTGTTACCAATTCGATTACGTGTTGTGTTTTACCCCAGGAAAATCCCATATTTTGCTAATTGTAAGATCAGTTGTATATCACAAAGTATAGTTTAATACACAAAACTATATGTTGAAAATCTTGGGATCACTATCACGTAAGAGATATAAAATAGTTTGACACATATACAAATACAGATTTAAGATCATGGGACTACCATCCCAGACTAGACACGAGATAATTTGATATATATATGAAAATATAGATTGAAACCATGGGATCACTATCCCGGACAAGATATAGCTTTAGACCATGGGATTATCATCCCGTACTTAATATAAATTGAATTCATGGGATTACTATCCCGTAAAAGATATAGATTAAAGACCATGGGATCATTATCCCGTATAAGATATAGTTAAAGACCATGGGGAAAAACATCCCGTACAAGTTATAGATTCAAAACCATGGGATTACTATCCCGTATAAGATATAGTTAAAAATCATGGGGCAAACATCCCGAATTAGATATGAAATACAATAATATTCACGAATTGTAGATAGAAAGTAGTTTGATAACCTTGGGACTAACATCCCGAACTAATTACAAGATAGTTTGATATACTAAGAAATATATTTGAAAACCATGGGATCACTATCCCGGACTAGATACAAAATAGTTTGATTATACCATGGGATCACTATCCCGAAAGAGATATAGATACTAAAACCCAAACTGTGAATAAACTAATATTAATACATGTTGTGAGTCGGGTAACCATGCTAATACGACAACGAGACCTCCTTGACATTTGTCAGACGTCGAAACGATATCCAGAAATTTTTCACCCCAGGCGTGCCCGCCTAACTGTAGCTAGCAGTTAAGGTGTGGGATTGTCAGTCCCGAATAGATCTATTCACAAATTCCGCGCTCTCCCTCCAGGAGACTCTGGTTACACTTCCGGGGAGGATTTACTGATCATCCATAAAGGGTAGTGACTATCTCACAAACTAGTACTAAACTATTCACAGGGTTCTCATACGATATCGACATATAGAAGATTATGAAACGTAATATAGCGAATATAGATACATACAATGAAATTATCTGACAAAACATTCAAATGATACGGAGATAAACTGAATCAGACATAGTTTATCCAATAACTTTATATAGATATCAGTATGTGATAGAAAGAACAGTAAAGACCCCGAAATTATTCCCATAATAATTTGATTAGTTTGGTTATTTCCTTAACTAAAATACATTTAGTTGTAATTGATGAATCATTCCTTATGCTCAGCATAATGCATAAGGAGTAAAAGAGTTTATAAGTTTGTCAGATATTGTTTGAAACATATCAATGTTATGATTTGAAAACAGTTAGAGTTTGCTTGTATTCCCCCCTGAAAACATTGAAAACAACGAAAAGGGCGTAGGGGTATGAACTCACCGAACGAGAAATGTGTGATTTGGATGCTAAGAGTTGATCCGGGGCTTGTAAACACATGAGGTTCCTAAGTATAATGTAAAGATACACATTTGTATCTAATTAGGACCTAGATTGATTATTTGATAGGGACAATTGCTTCTAGTCGCGAAAACACTTCGATACGAGTGTTTGGAGGGACCCGGGTGGCGTTTAAGGACACATATAGTTAGGATATTGAATTGGGACATCAAAGGAACACTCCTTAGGGTGTTTACGGCCACAAGACCCATTCCCCATGAGTTTACGGCCGTAAACTCATGGTGGGGTTAATTATGGGCAAAAATGACTTCAAACATTTAGGGGAATTTTTCTAGGTTTGGCTCAAAGTCTTGGAATGGATTTTTAACATCAAAATGACACATTTATTGGAGTTTATGGCCTAGCATAGGCTCCTGGCCGTAAAATCCTTAATATTCATGAAAATGGTGTTAAGTGGTGCTAGAACAAATCACATGTGATTGCTAAAATTGTTTCAAGGCCTTACATGCATTTGTATGAAATTTTGAAGGGGTTTTTGGAGTTTACGGCCAATGAGACCCCTCTCATGGCCGTGAACTCTCTTAGAGAGTGATTTCATGTGCTTTAATGTTAAAAACTTGTTTGTAAGGACTTCTAATATTCATTCCAAGGCTTTAGGGGTGGTTTAAGGACATTTTGGCATGTCTTTATGAGTTTACGGCCAAAGGCTATCTGCTTAGGCCATAAAGTCCTTTATGGAATGTGTTTGATTTGTTTAAGGTCTCCAAACCATTTTTAGATGATTCTAGGATTTACCACAAAGTCATTGGTTGAGTTTCAAGGCATTTGGACATGTTTAAAGGCACTTAATCCCCCTTTTAGAGGAGTTTACGGCCCAAGCACATGCCTTGGCCGTAAACTCTTGTTTGTCCCCCAAAAATCATGTTTAAAGTTTCCAAATGCTAAAACCATTATTCTACAAGTCATATCTAAGCCTTGTTTGTGATTTGGAAGGGTTTAAGGGCATGAAAACCCCATTTACATGAGTTTACGGCCCAAGATTATGCCTTGGCCATAAACTCCTTCAAATGACTCAAAATCAATGTTTTAAATGTTATATGTCCATTTCATGAAGCCATTAAGCCATATCTAAAGTCCAAAATTGCTTAGGAGGGGTTTTAGGGCTTAAAACCCCATGTTATATGAGTTTACGGCCCATGAAGGCTTCATGGCCGTAAACTCATGAGTGTGGTCTTAATCCATGCTTTGAACTCGAATTTGAAGGCTAAGAAGGTTACAATACAAGCTAGGGAAAGTACCTTAGAGATTTGAGGCCTTAAATTTGAGTTTTGGACCCTTAAACTTGGATTTAGGAGAGAGGTTAGAGAGAGAGAGTAGAGAGAGAGGAAGAAAAAGATTCAAATGAGTGCTTAAACACGTTTATATAGGACCTAAAACTTGGACACGGTGGAATTCTACCCGATACCGACGTTAAACACGGCTTTTGATCGCACCCGATTAAGTTTTCGTCACCCGGCGGGGACGTTTCTAAAACTTATGGAATAAATATTTTGGGCTAATTACATGAGTTCCTGAGTGGTTTAGACACTCATTAAAATATAATAAATATATAAGTTTAAATAATTTAACCCAAAGTGAAAACGAAACGAATTTGATAACGGCGAATTTTTCGGGTAGAACAGGTTTTGGCGATGGACAACTTCGGGTTGTTACACTTTTTATCATAGGTGCCCTCCGTGTTTTTTTATTGGACATTAATTTTAGGGCGCGCAATAATGCGTGTTCTCTATCCTTCAAATTTTGGAAGGCTGGCATTATTTTTAAGGACACACAAAAATGCGTAACATAAATCCGAGAGTGTCATTGTTTGCGCGTCATTAAAGGGTATTTTTCTTGTAGTGTTACTTCCTTTATGGCCTCCAACTGCGCTTCTTTGATCATTTCCATAATAGGTTTATCACAGTTATCCTTATACACATATCTTGTATCGAGGTACTGACTGCCCTCTAGCTCAAGGCGCCGGCCACCACATTAGCCTTGTCTAGGTGATACAGAATCTCACAATCCTTATCTTTCTCCACATCCAACCATCTCTTCTGCCTCATGTTCATGTTATGTTAATCCATAAGATATCTCAGGCTCTTGTTGTCCGTGTAGATGTTACATCGAACTCCATCAAGATAGTGGCACCAAATATTGAGAGCGAAAACCACTGCCCCCAATTCTAAATCATGGGTGGGATACTTTGATTCATGAGGCTTCAGCTGCCTCGAAGCGTATCCAATCACATGCCCCCTATGCATCAACACAACACCCAACCATGAAATGGATGCATCACAGTAGACCACAAAATTCTTAACTCCCTTAGGGAGCGGAAGTATTGGTGCCTCGTATAACCTATGACAAAGAATATTGAATGATGCCAACTGCTCAGGCCCCCAACTGAACATA